AAACCTAGCCCTGGTCAGGGTGGAGTATTTGCGCCATTAGCATTGGAGTAAGTTGCATGAGAATCTCGTTGAAAGTCAACCTAAGAGTCCTTCACATAGGGTTACCAACAAGACTATCACGATCCCACCACCACCACCCGTTTCTGACGTCACTGCAAAGTCCAAAGTGAATGTAGGAGGTGTTGTTGGCGGTGTCGTGGGCGGCGTCGCAGGGGTGGTGCTCATCTTAGCGGTCGCATTCTTCTGCTGGCGGCGCTCGCGACAGCGATCAATAGAAATTGAGAAGGACGATGATTTACGGCCCCGCGAACCAGATCCCTTCCCATATAATGTACCGCCCATCGTGACTACTGCAGTCTCGAACTCAGATGCGCAAAGCCCTCAATCTGATGCGCAAAGTCCTCAATCTGATGCGCCAACATTCCAGCCGTTGATGTCCTCGAAGCTGCGCGAACATCTCCGCTCTCAAGGTCAGAGTGCAACGGGCGCCGGTCCTGTCTCAACATCGAACTATAGTGGTACTACTGGTTCTGCGCCTGCTTCCAGCCAGAACCCTCCTTCGACCGTCGGCTCCAGCGGAGTACCCATATCCCCCACCGAGATAAGCGGGTTGCGAGCAGAGGTAGAGAATTTGCGCAGAGCGATGGAGGAAATCCGAATGGAGGCACCTCCAGAGTACGAGGGCCCGCCGGCTAGTCCCGCCGTGGTGTAAGTGTTGCTATTGTATTTTTAAAGGGACTTTTGCTTGTCACCTATATCAATCTTTTGGACGCGTTCTGTTCTGTATTATAGTACATCTATATAGTCAACTTTTATTAGCATGTGTGTTTGCGGGATTGCTGCAACTGTACCTTGAACTTGGAATTAGACGATCAGCTGAGAATATCACGTGGATGGGATCGTAATTACGCGCGATTGATGATGCCCAATGGCTCCCCGCCCAAAGTCGCCGCATCCATTCCGCTCGCGGCCGCTCTGCGTGAAGCACCTCTTCGCTTGACTTCATTCACCTCACACTTGTCTCTTCTTATAGCCATAATGTCTCTTCAGGGTCTCATCTCCGGCACAGAGTGCGCCGTGCCTTTCAACCCACTGTCCCAAGTGCTCAAGCACACCGAAGGCGATCGCAGTTTGCAGCAGGTATGCTCAATCCTCGGCCGGTTCTTTAAATACATCTCAACTCTCCAACAGGATAGAATTGCGGGGCCATCTACTGCTCGCGTGCGTGCTGTGCTACTTCCCTGGTTCATGAATACTGACAGGGATAGAATAGCTCCATCATCTCCCGAGCACTACGTCTGGATCTGGCTCGCAACAAGACCTGACTCATGCTCGCCAATTCTTCGACGAGAGTACACATACATCTGCACAAGCTCAGGCTTTTGCGCTTGCACCGCATATTCCCCCCCAACTTGCACATGCTCTCGAGCGCTCAGCCAATGTCCTCCCCGACCTTTCTAGTGCTTGGAATCAAACCAGTGGCAAACCAGTCTTATATGGGCAGGTTCCGCATGGTGAACAACTGGGTTCCCGTGCTTCTGGCTGGTCTGCTGAGTTTGGCAGAGCGTCTGGCATGCCTGCACAAGGTCCCGCTCCAGGTGCTTCCATGCAACGGCAAGAGTGTCAGTATCGTGGTTTTGATGTGTACATGCAGCTCATTCCAGTTGAATCCAGATTCTCAAACATCACGCATGTCTCCCGCATTTTATGGAGGTGCCATGCAGTCGTATATGTATCCGTCCGCCATGGGCAACGTCGGCATTCCGCCTTTGGTTGCCCAGCAAGGAAAGGGGAAAGGCAAGGAAATAGACTTTGAAGCTGCTTTTGCTCAAGCGACTGCCTCGTTTGCCACTGAGCATGCAGGCAGCGCACGAATCGTCGAGGTTGAAGATAGTACCGATGATCTTACAGAGCGCCTACAGGAATCGAGGTTGGAAGGTGGCGGTGATTCTTTAGAGTATGGCACAGATTTCCAAACGTGCGTTTATGGTTCCAGACATGGTCTTTGGCCAAGTGGATGTTGACTGGAGATATCCTAGCGTGTGGGAGAATCTCAGGAATTCTGGTCTTCCTCCTCCGGAAGAAGACCAATTCAAGTGGGAAGCACAGTTTAATCAACTTATGAATTCGGAGCGCGAAGACGATATGTTAGATTATGGCAAATCCTTACAGCAAGCATACGACGAGGGCATGTCGAGCACAAGTAATCAACGAAGTATAGAGTACACCGATGAAGGGCTGCCGCGCTTGAGTTCCTATGTCTTCGGTACGTCTCATTGCTGATGTCGCTTGGTACAGACTGATCCCCGATGTTTAGAGAAGGATAATCGATACTTGGATCCTTCCACCTCTTCGCGTTCGCATCTTCAGGCAGCTAAGGACCTACTTGAACAGAACGGTTCGCTCTCAGAGGTTGCTCTATTACTGGAAGCTGCTATCCAGCGCGGTGAGCTCGGTGAAGGGGGCTACGAAGCCTGGATTCTTTTGGGGGAGACAAGAAGCATGGACGAGCGGGAGGATGCTGCCATGCGCGCCTTGACGGAAGGTGTCAAGATAGCGGAAGCGGCCGGTGCCGATGGAGCTGGAATGCTGGTGAGTGAATTGTAAGACATCTTTTTCCACAGTCAGTTTGATGAGGGCATGGATGCCTAGTCATTGGCTGTCTCCTTCACGAATGAATCAATCGAGCGGGGTGCACATACTATGCTCCTCCAATGGCTTCGGGCTCGTTACCCATCGCTCGATATACCAGAGGCCGCGTGGCAGTCCTTGAAGGGCGCTGCGTGGAATTCTCATGAAAAAGTTACAGACGTATTCCTCAAGTTGGCTCGCGAGCAGTTTAGCCGGGGCGAGATGGATCCGGACGTGCAGATAGGTCTTGGAATCCTTTTCTATACAAGCAGCGAATTTGATCGCGCGAAGGATTGTTTCGAGGCTGCCCTCGCAGTCCGACCTAGAGTGAGAGCTGTCTCACGTGTACTGTTGATATCTGCTGATACCTTCGCAGGATTACTTGCTTTGGAATCGTATGGGGTCTGCGCTCTCGAACGGGAATAAGCCTGAGGAAGCCCTTGGCGCCTACAGGGAGGCATTGCAGCTACGTCCTACGTACACTCGGGCGATATACAATGTTGCGGTAGCGTGTGCGTATCCCATACTATGAGGTGCAACGGAACGCCGAAATGGCTCATTCCCATCCGTTGATCCGTAGGCCTCAATATCGGCGCCTTGCAGGAAGCCGCAGAACACCTTTTGGGTGCGCTGGCGATGCAGGACATGTCAGGAGGTGCAAAGAGCGACCAACTATGGCACACGCTTCGGCGGGTATTTGTCCAGATGGTAAATTCTCGCGTGTCTGGACCGAACTCTTTCAGACTGACTGATTGTGCCGATACAGGGCCGACAAAACCTGGCTGAGATGGCGATTCCTACAACAGACGTCGCTCTGTTCCGGAAGGAAGGGTTTGATTTTTAGTGATAGATTCTGTACAATGCTTTGAATATTTACTGCTATGTTGGAGCTAGGTCTACACTACTCTGAAGAGCGAGGACAAACGCTAAGCATGCTCGCCTGGAGGACTGTCCAACGTTAATCCCTGTGAATGAAGGGGCTTTGAGGAGTCTGGTGATCGCGTGATTGAGATCGATGTGACGCAACTGCGATGGTCTGTGTGACAAGTGCCCATTTTCCGGTCCGCGATGGTTATTGGCCGAGGAATGAGAGTCATGAGTTTCCGCTCATATTTTAGCAGACGGGTCCCCGGTCGCGGTCGACCTGAACCCCCAGGTATCTCTCGAGTCTCTGCTATCTCTTGTCTCTCCCCACCATGTCCGTCGATATGTGCGTATCGCTCTTGCTCTGGCCATCCGTTTTCATCAATTGACCCGCATCTGCAGCCATACGGTGCCGAAGGCGTCAGCCTCGAGCAATGCCAAGCTCAACAAGATCTCTAGCATCCTCACGCAGGATAAGGTCAGTGAACCCAGCATTGAGTGCCGAAAGTGAAGATTATTGTGCTGATTTGCATCGGACAGGCACGCGGAGGTGCCCAAGCCATGTGTAGGATCGCCGCTGAACTTCGGATGCTTCGGACCACTGACATAATTTGCAGTATACGCGGTTGGTTTGACAGAGGAGGACATGAATAAGCCCCAGGTATGCTATGACTTTACAGCCAGTCCTTGGGCATCGTATTCATATTTTTGCCTGTAGATTGGTATTTCTCCGATATGGTGGGAGGGTGAGTCGTGAAAATGTTCCAGACGTCGATCGCATTTACTGACGTTGATGCAGGAAACCCGTGCAACTCGCACCTTGTGAGTGCGCAATGGCTCCTATTTATGTCATGCACTCAGTATTCCGCATTCTATTCAGCTGGAACTTGCCATGAAAGTTAAAGAGGGCTGCAAACAAGAGGGCCTCGTTGGTCTCACATTCAACACCATTGGTGTCAGGTGTGTCTGCAATTTGTTGAACTGCATTGGCCGCGCCGTTGACAGCGACGATCAGCGACGCTATTACGATGGGTACTGATGGTGGGCATGAACTATTCTTCGATCGTGGTGTCAGAATTGACTTTTTAACTTCCTAGGAATGAGATATTCGTGCGTGCCGCCATGTTATGCGTCCAAATATCATCCCAAATAATCCTCTACTACTAGGCTTCCGAGTCGTGACTTGATTGCGGACTCTATTGAAGCGGTACGAATCCCGTTTTCGCTCTTTATTCAGCCTGAATTCACTTGACGACTTCTTAGGTCACACTGGTAAAAAGCTACCTCGCCGTGCGTATGGTCAGCCATTTACGGAATATGACTCTAGGCACAATACTACGACGCCAACATCTCGCTCCCGGGGTGAGTCGTCTTTTCCCAGTTGTACCGCTGGAAACAAACTGGCGTTCTAGATGTGACAAGAACATGCCGGGAACTGTCATGGCTGCAGCTCGCCACAATCGCCCAACTATCATCGTTTACGGCGGTACCATTCAGCATGGTGTTCGGAACGTCGACTGTCCCGCACTCGGTCACAAGAAGGGTGATGACATGAACATCGCCGATGCCTTTGAATCCTATGGTATGTATTACAAGGTGTCAGGGGAGAAAGACTCAACGAATTCTAACTAGGTGCTTTCGCCGTCGGGAACATTAGCGAGGAGGAACGTTTCGATGTTGTCCGTTACTCGTGTCCTGGGGCAGGTGCTTGCGGAGGCATGTACACGTACGTCTGCAGTCGCTCTGTTGGAGTGAATGATCTCCTAACGGTCTCAAAGTGCCAACACCATGTCGAGTGCTCTGGAGGTGTTGGGCATGTCGTTGCCTTATTCCTCCAGCACGCCAGCCACCTACCCCGAAAAGGCCCAAGAGTGCTTCAAAGCTGCGAAGTACATGAGGACATTGCTTGAACTTGACATTAAGCCGAAGTTAGAACTGCGACGACCAGATGGAGAACAGAACGCTAATGTAATCTTGCTCCCAGGGACATCCTCACCCGCGCAGCATTCGTGAACGCCATCACCGTCGTCAACGTTTTGGGTGGCTCGACGAATTCGGTCCTACACCTTCTGGCAATGTCTCGTGCCGCTGATGTCAATCTCACGATCGATGACTTCCAGGAGATCGCTGACAGGACGCCGTACTTATGCGACCTCAAGTAGGCATTTTTCCAGAATCATGTTGACGGGGTAGTTGACCCGTTTGTGATAGGCCATCTGGAAAGTACCTGATGGAGAACCTGCACAAGGTCGGCGGTATCCCATCATTGCTGAAGTACCTCTTGAAGAACACCAACCTCATTGACGGAAGCACGCTGACCGTCACCGGGAAGACGCTCGCTGAAAACGTAGAAGACGCTGTCGACCTGGAATTCGAGAATCAGGGCGTCATTCGACCATTGAGCAACCCGATCAAACCGGTGAGTGTTGCATATATTGGTCTGGGGATCTTATGCTCATTGGATTTCTCATGTGTAGACTGGCCACTTGACGATCCTCCGCGGAAATCTTGCGCCAGGAACGGCCGTAGCGAAGCTGACTGGTAAGGAGGGGCTGCGTTTCGAGGTGTGCATTATTCCAAGACGACTCTAAGAGGACTCCATGCTGATGATATGACACGCAGGGTGTTGCGAAATGCTTCGACCGGTGCGCTTTCTTGAGTCGAGTACCGTATCCCGCCTCCTGCTGACCATGCTGACGATACAGCGTGGGAGATTTCTATCCTGCTTTGGAGGCGGGTCAAGTTAAGGAGGGTATGGTGCTTGTCTTCCGTTACCAGGGCCCCAAGGGCGCGCCCGGAATGCCGGAGGTCAGTTCCTTTGCTTGGTCCGAAGCCGCTGTCTTAACATCCTGTCAGATGTTGGGCCCCACCAGTGCCCTCATGGGTGCAGGCTTGGGCGGCAAGACGGCTCTGATCACAGACGGCCGTTTCTCAGGTGCCTCTCGAGGATTCATCATCGGTAGGACTACCCCCTTTTTTTTGCTTAATGCGCACTTACGTTTGCCGATTGCAGGTCACGTCGTACCCGAGGCGCAGCTGGGCGGCCCCATCGGGCTTGTTCAGGATGGGGATAAGATCACGATCGATGCGGCGACACGCACGATTACCTGGGACGTCGACGAGCAAGAGCAGACGCGCCGCCGTGCGTCGTGGGAGGCGAACGGACCGCGCGAGTTCCGCGAGAAGCGCGGTGTGCTGTACCGTTACGCACGGGACGTCGCAGCCGCGAACGTTGGCGCATACTGCGACTAAGGCGATCACAACCGCTGAAAGACGGTGCAGAAGGAAGAAGATGCTTGTAGTAGTGATAACATGCATTGTAACGTAGAAGCCGCGCATTGCTTTAGATATGTACCCGTGTATGACCATCTTCAAGAATAAAGAGTACAAACTTGTCGTGTCAATGGTATCTGAGATGTAAGCTAGAGTAGATGCGTTGAACATTAGTGCTTGCGTGTACGGACTAAGAGGCATACTACATACCGAATAATTCCAGCAGTTATAACATAGTGGGAGGGATAATAAGTAGGAGAACATAACATGGGTATGAAGTTATCAGCCATCTGCGACACGACGTGTGTGTCTGGATGAAAGGGAGCAAGTCTCCTGTTGGGTGTGGATGGTTGCTGGCAAAGAATGAGTCGACAGCTGTGATGCAGAGACCACCCCCGGCTCCTTCTCCTTCCCGCCCTTCACCTCTGTCCGCGCCAAGGGTATAGTTTTGGCATGCTCCGGCTGGGCACGAACATCAGCCTTCGGGTCGTCTGGGACGATACGTTCGCCAGGGGCACGAATGCCTTGAATAACAGCCGGGTCGGGCGGGATGATGAATGCCTCGGGTTTGGGCGGAGGCACGTCGAGCTCGCGGTGGCTGCGAAGGCCGGCGTTGCGCACGGCCTGATGACCCTTCCAACGCTTGTAGGCGTACATGAGGAGCCCGACGATCCATGCGATGCCAATGGTGGCGCCTGAGACAGAGCCGGAAATGAGGGGAACGAGGTCACGACGTCTATTGAAAGAATGAACGCTGGGAGGGCGGAAACGACGGGAAAGACTGACCCATGGAGAACTGCTTGTCCGGATTGCTGTGGAGTCTCTGCATCGACGACAAAGGTCACCGCAGGCATGCTGTAATACATCGTAATTCGTTCAGCAGAATTTCTTCTATATGGCCATGGATGTGTTCACCTATCCTTGACTCAAGGCCAGTATGTCGCTTCTCTGTCGTGGTTGGAGGTGTCTGGGCGGGTGCGAGAGGTGCCCGGGACGAGGAAGCAGGACAAAGGCAGGCAGAGTGGAGAAGAGGCATGATGTGGGGTGAGTTCAATTCGGTCATCGCAGTGCGTTCCTGGCCCACATCCACTGGTACGCGGGATCAGCCGCGACTCGTGGCTCACTGCCTCCATCCTGCGAGACAGACTAGTCCCTGGCCAGTGGCCGCCAACGGGTTCGACTGCGTACGTTACGCTCAAATGGGAGCCTGAGTGGCATGCTACTGTGGGATGTATGACTCGGAGGCGACCACGCTTGCCTCATACCATGACAGCCTCTGAGTCGGCTCGCAGGTGAAGTAGTCAATGCCACCCTCGCAGCTGCTAACAGATTACCGACTTCTCCCAACGCATTGTTCCCATCTGTTGCTGTAATTTCGTCAACAGCAGCAGAACTCCTTGCAGGCTGTATAATTGTTGGCTCTGACATCCTTCTGCATTACACATGCTCCTCCGTCCTGGACTGGCTTTTATCCGTTGATCAAAAGATTCATCGATACAGCTACTACCAATAATCCATAAAGTGGCATCATGAATATTGTGCTGGGTGAGCTGGCTTGTGTACTACTGTAAGTGCCCTGGTCGCTTTTCACCTCACGGCACGTAGAGTTCTTTGCCCCGCGACGCGAACGGGCGATGAATTAGTAACGGGCGAAAGCAATGCACTTGCGTTGCTAACCAACTAAGGGCATAACCTCGTCTCCATAGCAATATCTGACGCGGAGGCGGCGCACTCACTGCATCGACGAGTTTGATTAGGATGTCAGGCCTGTTCAATAGCCTGAACGAGCCCATGCGACTCGACTGGGACATGGCGGCCGTTTAATGTCAAGTGATGCTATCACGGAGCCGTGGAGTCGGCAATGGGCGCAACTTGTAGTCTCGTACATGGTGAGCGTTCCGCTCGATTGTGCATCTCCACGTTGTGATAAAGCAGCAAGCGGCAGCTACAACGACCGATGGCTGCGCATGTGCACAGCTACCATCATGTGCAAGTACTCAGTGCGTGGTGTAGAACAGCGCCTACACAGCTTTCGGGTCCTGAAAGTAGCTTGCAATGGTGAACCGCATCTTCACAAGACAGCCCTGATCACCAATCAATCATGATAATGCACGGGATAGCGGTGGTACCGCTCTCCTCTGCACTTATTTCAAGGCGAACTCGCGAACCAATCTTGCAACATCTCCACTGCTCGACGCGCATCTCAAAAGCTTTACAAAGACCCGTGCTCTCCTCAACTCCTGCGTATCCAACCGTTTAGTATCCAGAACATTAAAAGATCATGTCTTACCAGTCGGGTTACTCCCAAGCCCCCGCACAATACGCTGGCTCCTTTCCTCCCCCCCAAGGTACACCTCCCCCAGCTGGTCCCAGCGAAACGGGCAATGCTAGAATCACAGGCTCCTACGAGGGCGTGCAGTTCAAGATTGACCATCGGGATGATAACACCATGCTCTACATGCGTATCCAGCCAGGCTACGAGATCCTTGCAAAACCAGGCAGCATGGTCACGATGGACCCGTCTGTCCAGATCAAGGGAAAAGTGCGCATCCTGCACGCACAACGAGTCTTAATGGAAACTGATAAGCGAGATGCTTCGTAGATGAATTTCAGTTTCAAGAAGTTGCTGACAGGAGGAGAGGCGAGTATAGATCTTGGCGTTATCAACGCGCAGCTCATCGCGTCTGCAGCTGTCGTTCATGCACTTCTGGGGTCCAGGGGAGGTGGTGTTGACTCCTGAAATGTGGGGCGACATCACTCGGATCCAACTGGACGGCAACTCACCGTGGCACTTCGGGAAGCACGCGTTCCTTGCTTGCACGCCGGGTGTTCAGATGACAACCAAATCCCAGAGCTTTGGGAAAATGCTCTGTATGTTACTTATTTCCCCATTCGATATTGGTGGCGCTAACTGGCATGATGCGTAGTCTCTGGTCATGGCTTGTTCGTTTCCCAAGCTACCGGTGTCGGCATGCTGTTCCTGCACGGTTTGGGTACCATCATTTCACGCGATCTGCGACCAGGAGAGCAGTGGATTGGTGAGCATTCTTTCCGTTGCATCATGCACGTGTGCAAGTACTCACGGTGAATTGCTACTAGTCAACAACAACCATCTTGTTGCGTGGAACTGCCAGTACAACATGGAGAAGATCCAAGCGGGAGGTCTCCTTTCTACCCTTCAAACCGACGAGGGAGCTGTTTGCAGGTGCGTCGCTTTCGATGCTGTAACTATTGATGGGTCGTCGACAACTCTTCTTGAAGGTTTACCGGGCCCGGCACCGTCTTCATTCAATCGAAGAGTACCGACGCCATCATCGGCTGGATTTCAGACAGACTGCCCAACAACAACTGAGGATGGTCTACTATCACATGTCAGATTGTACTTGGAACACTATGTATCTCGCAAAAATTGTATATATACCATGAATTTTGTAAGTCTTGTCACTTTGAATTATGATTTTGCCCCGTACATGTCATGTGACCGCGTTTTGCGATGCATACATCGTCGGAAATGCTTGCAATCATTCCTTACTACTATCTGGAACATCCGGTTCATTCTTATTGACTTGGACGGCTCACATGTCACACTCAACTACTGCGACAACGGTCTACGACCTGTTGAAGTATTCACGTTCGTCTGCACAGGTGAATGGGACCGCCAATCAAGCGGAAGAGTGGCAGCATTTCTCGAATCCGACTATCCGGCTGTTCGTAGATGTCAAAAAGTCGTCTGTGGGAGAGTTGGAGTCATTTAAGACGCGTGTCGTCTGGTCACTTAACGCAGGAAATGATACCATGGACGTGGATCAGCGTGAAGTCGTTTTTGTGCGATAGTTCTGTGGTAGTAAACACTGTTAGATACTGATACGCTTCATCGCCTTAGGAGGACCTCGATTTACTTACTTTCTCCTCTATGAATCAAATTCAAATGGCCCAAGGTTTCCCGCTGAAAGCAGTTTATCGTGATGCAGTTGTCGGATTTCGATATTTGTATCCTCGGACGATTCCTGTGGGAACCCCGCCAGTGCGCATTTATCTAATCATTTTTCACAGACTGATTTATCCAAGGATGTCCAGTCATATAAACGGTTTCAGATAACTTTTCAGACCGTATCATTTGCTACCAGCTTCATCAATTCCATCAAATATATCTGTCCCTGCAAGGCAACAAATCCCGTTCTGCCCGGACACACTATCAACAGGGCTGCCACAATGATGCAGCGCGCGAATGCACCGGCTCCCATTGTATCCATTGCGCCTTCAAGTCGTACAGCAAATTCGATTGCTTCTCATCCGGCTTCTGTGCGATTTTCCAAGACCAGCATAGAGTCACTTATACACCCCAACAATGCACCTGCAAACGAGCAACAATCGCAGTTCTCATCTGATTCTGCGGGTGCAGTCTCTGTCAACGAGCAGCTATCCTCGCTGAATGATGATCCGGCACGAACTACTGGCGTGACTCCTCTGCAGATATCTTCCTCTGGACAACATCCTGGCGATACTCGGGACTTAGAAGCATCTAGCCAAGGAACTGATACAAGCTGGCGCGCCCCTCTTAGCTATGCACCTAATGCCCCGGTACAATCTGGTATACATACTCATGGTCGCGCTCGCGCTGGTCTTCCTTCTTCTGACGATCCAAACGTGTCTCGACCATCGTCTGCTATCACTGCCTCCTCAGTGCTTCCAGACTGCTCAGCTTGCACGTCATCTCAGGCTCCTGTGGGAATCCCTGAACCAGTCTCTGACTCTACTTGGTCTGTGTCTACTCCTTCGCGGACTCAGTCTGACATGGGTCCTCCGCCTGTGCCGCCTCACACTACGGCGCCCGCCCAGATGTCAACATCACAGACGATGGGTCTGACTCCTACTGCTAATGTGATAGCACCTGCCACTGAATCATTTCTGACATCGCTAAGCGATTCAGTCTATCCATATAACTTGTCACGGGCTGATCTGGAATCTCTGGTCGCTCGAATTGTCCGAGAAGATGGGTTCGTGAAATTGGTACGCTCATCTATTGTCGAGTGAACGGACTAGTCTCATCTCAGCCGCTGATTAGCTAGAGGACCTCGACTCGATGTGGAAAATCAAAGGTTTCCTGCGGCAGATTTGAATTGACCGTCTCTGAAACACGATGTAATACCGTGATCACTGAACAGACATTCAAATTCCAATGACCCCAATCTATTGCCCGGCCTGACATCGGAAGGTGCAAGATGATCGACTACAACTCAACACGCAGCTGTCTGACATCATTTACCGACACCACGTATCCGACACGAAGGGTTGGTCACTGGGGTAGTTAGCGACGCGCTGGTAGGTAATTATACTACATGATTGACATCCGTCTATCCATTATAAGTTGTGAAACAAAGCCGTGAGATTTGTAAGATATGTCGAAACATCTTAGAAGGGAATTTCCTAATTGCTTCCAGAAGCCTCGAGTCTCTCTGGACCTTGCTCAATGACTGCTGCGAACATCTGGTCCCAATTAGCAGCGAGTTCGGCAGACTCCTGAGGGTTCTTCTTGTAACGCTCCAAGTCTCGCAGCGAGAACCAAAGGAATCGCGCAAGGTCTTCGAAGACAATTACAATGTGCACTGTATGGTCTCCTCGATTGTCATTCTTCCAGTCCTGGACCTGTTCTTCAGTGCAGTCCAGTTCGCGCAACCTTTCAGCCATCTGTTCATGGGAGTAGACCTTTCCTTGCACCATCTGGGAGAGGAGATCCAACAGAAGCATGGCATGTTCGGACTATTCAGAATATTCACTTGCTCTGAAAGACCGTGCGACGTCAGGCGGGTAAGGACGCCTCTCGACTTCGACAAACATACTTCAGATGAGATAGATCTTCAACCCGATAGTAACACAAATCATGTTAAAACACACCAGTGGGTGGCGAGACGGTCTGGAGGGTGATTAGCTAGGTCCAATGCAATGAGCGACATGGTTTGAAAGGTGCTCCTCCAACAATTGAGCCATTTAGAGAAGTCGTTATTCAACTCGTTGACTTCGCTATCCCGGGCGAGCGATTCTTGGAAGGCTTCTCCGGTGCGACAGCGCTACTTATGCGTGACCCAGGCCGCTTTCTGGCACACCTTTGAGCAATAGCGCACCATCCTAAGCGGTTCATCGTGCATCAACTACTGCTCTGAACCCGGAGGAGGTGCGATGGTACCATGACTACGCACTTGCATTGGCCGCATATCTTGAGGTTTCGTTTGCCCACTTTTTTCAGGCAATATGAACACCGCTCTGTGTAGTCGTTATCTCGAAGAGACATGGGAGGCGTATTGTGCAAGGGAGAGCCAAGATATGCAAGGTGAACTGATACCCACAGGAATTTTACAGAGTAAGTCCAAGTGTTACGTCGTAAGGTTACAGCCGGGCTGAGCCTGCAGTCTATACGCGACGCGACGCCACTCACCAAGCCGGATTTAGGGCAGATAACACGCGTGATCAACAGTCGTACAGTATAAGGATCAATATGTTCTATGGATTACAGTAACGTACAAGTAGTCTAATTGAGCGCTAGGAAGTCGGTGAGGTATGCATAATTAAAAGGTAACGTGAGAGGACAACATTTGCTACTTGGTAATGTGAATCATTGATAGGAATTTGAGGACATCATAAAGCAAAGTCTTTTACACCTTGATACCAGCTTTGAGAGTCAACAGAGCCCGAGTTGCATGGAACGCAACACGAATGAAATGGAAAAGGGCCCACATGACACCAACTGACAGTCAGATTGTCGGTTAGCCATCGAAATAAAATCGACCAAAAGACTTACTGAAGAGAATCGGGATCCAAAATAAAATAAGCATACGATCATCTGTATCAACATCATTAGGCTATCATGTGAGCAGCAGAATTACGAAAGCGACAAACGTTTCTTACGCTGCTTGCGCGAAGATTTATGCGCTGAGCGTTGAGCGTGAGTCTGAACGTCTTGTTCACGGATTGGAAGCGAATCATAGCTGATGCGAATAACTGATTGATCAGGCTCAGAATCTTGTGTTGTAGCACTGGCCGACGGTGTGTCATCTACGTGTTTCGACGATAACACAACAGGGTCAGAATCTCTTGGAGAATAGGCTGGAGGAGCGTCGGTGACATCTTCGCTCTGCTCAGCAGGGGCACCTGTCACGTTCTCGCCCTGTTGTGGAGGCATGGCGGATTGCGTCAACCACTTCTCCCAGAAGGCTCGCCATTCCTGTATCATCGGGGAGGTATTGACACTCTTCTCGTCTTCATCCGTCCGCTTTCCCTCAGCGCGCCTTTCTCCCCATAAAGCGGACAAGGCAGGCATGGGAACAAACACAGGGAAGACGGCAGGCATCTGAGAAAGGGCATTCCAAGCAGGGATGGCGGGTAGATGAAGGAGGGGGAAATTGGGAATCATGCCTTGTGGGGTTTGCCACTGAGCTAGCGTGCGCGAAAATGTCTCCATGAAAGATGCGACTTGTTTCTCATCCGGTAGGCCTGCTTCAAAAATCTTCTCGTCTGGCTGAACTGGAGATACTGGTTGCAATTTGGAATCGGCGTTTCGAAGGGTATGACATGATCGCCGCTTCCGCAAAGTTGACTTGCGCCCATCGCGATACCAGGTCATGCTCTTCGTCCTAATATTGTCTTCCTCCTCCTCCTCCGCGTCACCCCAAGCAGCTTCCTCTTCGTCCTCGTGCCCATAGCTACGGCCGTTTTCAGAGCCGCTGTCAATCAAAGCGAAGTCGAAGAATCCATTCGGAGCAACTTCGGCGGGCGTCTTCCCTAGCGCATTGACGATATCGAGGGCCGCGCCGGCTTCGACAAGAACCCTCGCGCAATCCGTAGATTGGACAAGAGCAGCAACGAAAAGTGCCGTGCAGCCATTCTTATCCCGGGCATCTATGTCAATATTATGCGAAACCAAGAATTTAGCGAGAGCCGGGAACTTGGCCATAGTCGCAAGATGCAAAAGGGTTTGACCGCTAGGGCTTCGATAGGAGATCGAAGGAGACAACGACTCAGTGGGACCATCGATAGGGACGTCGATAACAGAGAGAAATTCAAGGAGAACCCTTTCAAAGTCGCCGTTGTTGCGCGTTCGACTCACTAAAAGACGCCTGAAATCAGGGGTAGACTCGACCGTGTTTGCCAGTTGCATGGCATTGTCCACCTGAGCTGTGCTTCCCGAAGTGTCGGAATCCGGATTACCAACGATGCGCATGGCAACATTCCTCGCATCTTCAATCTTGCCTGTCATCTTCAATCCGACAACCTGGAGAGCAAGTTCCATACTAGATGGTTGTTAGTTCTGATATGACACAAACGAGCAAGGCAAACGCATACAGGGCTCGATCCGTTTCATCTTTGTAAGTGAAAATGCACGGCGCTGTGCCATCCTCCTCCTTTGCCATGCCATCAAACCATACAGGTACACTTCCCGGGTTAGTGCTGGGCGGCAAGAGGCAAACCAGCGTATTGTCACTCCACCGCTGTGTGGAGCTTGAGATCGCTCCACCAAACACGCAGTTCAATTGCATGGAGGAATGGAAGTTCGCACCGAGCACAGTTACCTCTACACCGCCATAGGTAGGACCGGATGATGGAATGAGGCGGGGGATCTTT